ACTGAACAACTCTCGCACATGGCAGTCACAAGTGATACTTCGCCATTCAGATCGCACTGATTCCTTTCGCGCACATGTTAGCGATTTTTTTTTAATCTTTCAAGTGTGGTTCGCAAACGCGAATATAGGCTGATACAGAAAAGTGGTGGCTCCGTATAAGCCAAGCATTGGTGCGTACTTGGTTTGCAATAGGTTGCTGTAAATTTTCAAATGGGCCTGTTAAGGGTATACTGGTATATATGGCACTTTCAGGAGGCTCCTAGGAACAAACATGGGAGGCAAAGTGTAGCTTGGTAGCCCGCGCAAGGCCTCGCGGGTGTGTTGTTAACTTCCACTTAGAAGTGTTGTAAAATGTTCGCCTCAGTAGAACAGTGGCTACAGGGCGCTTGGCTGCTGATTCGAAGGTCGTGGCTTCGATCCCTGCCTTGGCGGTCACGTCTCGAGGTCCATTGATTGATTGATTTGTGGGGTTTAACGTCCCAAAACCACCATTTGATTATGAGAGACGCCGTAGTGGAGGGCTCTGGAAATTTCGACCACCTGGGGTTCTTTAACGTGCACCCAAATCTGAGTACATGGACTCTCGAGGTACATGTACTGTGCAATGTCGGTGCGCCATTAAGGAACCCCAGATGGTCAAATTTGGTGGAGCCCTCTACTACGGGGTGTCTCATAATGATGTCGCGGTTCTGGGACGTAAAATACTAGATAATATTAGAAGTGCGGAATGTATAGGTAGCCTTCACTGGTGGGGCTTCCCGTTAGCCTCCACAGTGGCAGTTCACCCCGCAGAAAGAACGGTTTCCACTGTCCTCCTTCTTCTTGTCACATCAATGCCAGCAACAGAAAAAGATGTCAAAGAAGAAGTGCAACCGTAATTCTGTTATTTTTTCTCTGTCTTCACGTTGGTTTCTCGCTGCCAAGAATTTCAAGATCGAGCGTCTCGTTCACTCTTCTCCCTTGTTCCTTCGTACTCGGTGTGTCTCGAGAAAAAGGGGCTTTCTTTTTGTCCTGACACTCCGGCTTGTTTCTTCAGAAAGTCAACAAAAGAACGAAGACATTGAGATGTTTTCACAATTTCTCTCACAGCGACAAAAGTAAATAAACAACCGACAAATGCGGTCACGTGTACCTATCGGAGGCCAGGTCACAAACGGTCGGGGAGTTATTCGCGCCAGCTCCCCCAAAGGTGTCAGCCGGCTAAGAACGTTCCGAAGATATGTGGCAGAAAACTGCGGTTGGTGGGGTCGCCGTATAAAAACGCACATAACCGCCTCACCTATTCGCAGACGTGTTTTAGCACGCACCTGTACCCCTCCCATGAGGTATAGGGGTTCATAAATGTATACACGGCCTGTCTGCTCCTATATATAAACGTGGGTGGGAGTTATATGGAGAGTCGTATCACAAGCTCGGTGCGCCGTGCGTATTTTCAGAGTGACCCCGCAGCGGAAGGGGGGGCCAAGAGTGTTTCGAAAGCGCGAGGCCAGGCGCGTTTGTGGTTGCCCCATTGCGCGCTTGTTTACGCCCGGCAAACGGGGAGCGACAAACGCTGATCTGCTAGCTCGTCTCCGCATGCAGAAGGAGAGAAGAGTGTCGTTCGTCCTATTGCCGACGAAACTAGAAACGGCCGTCAGTGCATTATTCGTTTGTGTGCAGTGGGAACTCGTTTAGTATGTGAAACAAAACGTGCCAAGCTGCGCAGACGGGGATAAAATGAGGCGCAAACAACTTATAGAAGACGACCTTTTTTCCCCCAAGTGGTGTGCGAAGATATTTAATGCCGGGAAGTTTGAATACGTTCAGAGAAAACAGCGCTCTGCATTCTCTCTGGCCGAGTGCTACACAAAGGATCTGTATATGCCATGGACTCAAACCTTCACAGCGGGGCACGCCGACATAATGAGAAGAACAGAGAGCAGTTAATTGCGGCGACAAGTGTTGCCGCTTTTTAACGAGACATCCCGCAGAGGAAAGCCCTCTCATCGTCAAAGTTTCTGGGGGCAGCTGATCGTCAACTGGGGGCTAAGTGGGGCTGTTCTCTTTGGAACAAAAAGGCTCCGTCTTTGGCTCTGACTGCACCGTTATTTTTTTTTTCTGTTGCAGATCGCTAAACTCCAAGCTGATTTAACAAACAACCAATTGGGCTGAAAACAAAAGTTGCTGAACTGATTTTCAAGTGGGAAAAGACACATTAGGTACCATATATGTTTGAAGATTTACAAGCGGACTCTTGTATACAAGAAACATCCCAGAAAGCATCCCGCTAAATTTATTAGGAAAAAAATGAATTATTAACACTAATTTATGGGCAAATATAGCAAAAGGCCTTTACTCCGTCAAATACTTTATGACAAAGAATATATACTAATCATTTTTTCAATAAGTTTGATAACATTTACTTTAGAAATGTATGGTGCTCTCAATGTATGCAGTAACAATATTGTATATACTGTGAAAATAAATAAATTATGACTGTGCTCCAAAAGGGAGTATATGATTTTATTAACTGCATATACAGCATATTTGTAATCTACTATAATTTGATCTATACGTGCTATTGCAGCTTCTTTCATTGTTTTGATGTTTAGGAGTTCTCGCGAGGAGTAGCCATTACTTAAAGGTGTATTTTGAGCTTGAGTTTTTCAACCATGACACGAGTACATGAAAAAGACATTGTACACGTGGTTTGGTACAAAGGAAAAGAAAAGCTGCATGTCACAGCTTGACTAGCCCTTTCACTGAGAAATAAAATGTCTAAGTTACAAACTAACAAAATATTGCAGGCAGCGAAAATGAACAACACAAAACGAACGTGCATGTGCACCATGACAGCAAATAATAAAAAAGAGAACTCTGAAATACACACAATATTATTCACAACAAAGCAATGTATGAATGAATGGAACTATGAAATCGATACAGAAATCATCCAACGTGCATAAGCAACACAATCAGCATATCCAATTTTACTTATCTGTTTTAAACAATTTATGCAAATTATCAGTTGTTAATTTCTATTTTTTTATCACAATTAGAAGACGGTAATGTACTGTTTCAAATACATAGTGCGAGGACATGGTGAATCAGTATAGTAAAGTCTTACTTTTAGAGCAATTATTTGTGGAGAATTTGCCACAGTCCAGGCATATATTTTATTTCGTATTTCATTAGCAGAAACACTGAGGTAATCAGCAGTTTCTCCAGAAAAAAAATATATTTGTGTCGTCCGCATAGGTTACATAATCTACAGAACTTTCAACACGTACAGTACCATTCATAAAAATACTAGAATAGTGGTCCCAAAATGCTGTTTCAAGGTGCACCATTCCTAGCGCGCACCTGCACTACGTGTATTCGAGGTACACCATAAGTAGTTTTTTTGTTAAAGGTAAGACTGCACTACGAACGTCGTGAAGGAGAGGTTTTCTGGCATAATATCATGGTTTATTCGATCGAATGCTTTGGAGAAATCCAGGAACATTGCTAGCGTAAGTTTTCTTGCTTCTGTATATTTTGGAATCGATTACACCGCAGCGGTGGCTGCATGGCAAGAGCGTCTGCTTCTAAGGCGGGAGGTGTCAGGTTCAATTCCCTGTACCGACAGGGAAGCCACCGGTTTTTCCCAATGGCTAGAAGAGCCCACTGACCTGGCGCTCGATTGTTTCTGGGTACTCATCTCGAAAGATATTCCATAAGGTTTGGCGAAGGCCTCTGGCGTACCTTAACGCTCCACAGCCTTGGTGAAATGGTTAAGCATCCGCCGCTGCTTTGGGAGGGAGAGAATTGCTGCCGTCAAGTACCAACTGGTTAAGTTGGTGGAAGCGCATTTGCGGCCTAATGCTCGGCAGAATGAAGCTGTAGTCGCTTGGGAGGGGACCCAACCCGAGGGAAATTGGCGGCATGGGACTGCGAGACCTAAAATTAAAGTTATACTCTTTTTTTTTTTTTGCAAATGTGTAGGTGGTATTTGATGATACACTTTTAAAATGTGCATCTTCTCGCCTTACAAATTTGAAATAGCGCAGTTTTTTTTTACATATTGGTGGTGTAATCATCGTTGAACTGCATGTTTTTGACTTGAATGGTTGCTTTTTTTTTTGTACGCAGTCACAATATTGTGCCGTTTCAGTTTAAAATCGATGACCTGAAGGACGAAACAGAGGTGTGGTAATTTCCATAGCACGGCATAATATTAATGTATTTCACTAATTTTCCACGTAAAAAAAAAGGAAAATGAATTTCGTGCAGCACATTTGCAGTATACAGCAATATCTGCTCGGAATGAGCTTAAACGGAAGCTTCTGCTATTAATTTTACTCTCGATCCAACTCATTGCCGAACTATAGCGTATGCGTGCACGTGCAAACGGGACCATAATTTCTAGCATAAAAGAATAAAAAAAAGATTCTCCTATTCGAGACAGACTTTTCGAAGTTCACCTGCATTGAGGTACAAGAAGTTGTCACACTTGCTTCACGTAATATAATCTTATTTGCATACATAAAGATAATGGCCGTATACACGAAAACGTTATGGCACACGACTCCCCAGAGGATCGACAAACATACGCTACTGTACACTAGAATTTCTTTATTACTTGTTAAACTGACAAATGAAGTTCGATAAAAAGTTTCGGTCTAAAGCCCAATATACGTCTTTATATTTGCCGATATTCATAACTTCGAGTCAAATTGCTATATTTGTTGACACGTTATGTGATCGAAGATGGTGAGAGATAGTTACGTTAATGAACGATAAACATGCAAAGCGAATGACAAATAAAATGAGAATAAGACGTAGAAACTTTCTTTGAAGTCGTGAGTAGCCCCACTCAGTTGCAGCCAGTAATTTCACTGCTTAATGAATTTGAATATCTCTTGCGGGCCCACTAAAAAAAAAAAAAAACTAGGTTTCACATACAAGCATTCAATGCACAGTTGTAGCTCGATGCAAGAATACAATGTCACGAGGAAAAAAGGACAATGAACTTTGCTCACCCGTCCTGTTTCTTCTCAATCTTGATTGATGGGGAGGGACGAAAACCACAAGTAGAATTAGCGAGAGACCGTCACTCGCGCACAGGTGGACACCGCAAAACACGCACTAGATATTACCGAGGACACTTCACAGTGGGACTAATAACGATTGACTTGCACGTGCAGGAAAGAAACGAAACTGCTGCGTCACGACGAACAGAGGGGTGAGGTCGGGCGTGCTTGGCAACGAAGCTAACCCGGGTGACTAGGGTTGAGTGCAGGGCTGAGAACGAAAAATGAAAGAATAAGAGAACAGCTACGAAGGGTTGGTTGGTTGGTTGCGCTCAAAACAGAAGCACCTTGGAGCAGACCGTGAAACAGCAGACGACTCTCCGCAAGAGGCGGCCCACGGCGCCCGAGCAGAAGCAGACGCACACGCTGAAGCAGACGACCGCCGCCGAACAGGCGATCAGCGCGAAGGGAAGTGGCGGCGACGTGTCGTCCGCTATGATTGCGGCGCCTTGGCGGCGGTTTACAGCAGCGCGTTATTCTTCTTCGCTTTTTTCTTTCTGGGCGCGTTTCTCAAACCTCGCGCCCGTGAATCGCGCGCGCACAAAGAGACACACTGAGCAAAGAGCTTCTTCTAATAACGCGTGCCGCGCATCGGAGGCGGTTTCGCTCGGCTGGCCCGGGATAGGTTTCGGTTTTGAGTTGGGGGGAGAAACCCGGGGTCCACCGCCAGACTGGGCGCCGCGTACGAGCCGTCCAAAAGTAGCGGACGACGGGATGGCGGAGTTGGTTGGTGTGTGTGGGGGAGGGGGCACTGATGGAAAGAGGGAAAATGGGGGAAGAGTTTGGGCCTGGAATATACACAGTGCACAGTGTTGGGAAGAAGCAGACCAGGGTTCCGATCCCGTTTGGTTGCTAGAAACACCGGCCTAACTACTGTAGCCCGCGAACGGGAACAACAACTGGAACACAGAAAGTGAAGAGGGGAAAAAAAAAAATGCTGTACTCTCGCAGCCGGGACAATTCCACCCATGGTGGTCTATTTTTACCCCGTGCCAGTCCTCCTACTCGGAGCACTATTTTTTTTTCTTCTCTGTGTTGTTCACTGTTTAGAAAACATGGCTTTCTCGAGTGGCTGAGGGTTGCCGATGGCTTAGTCTGTCTTCCCTCCCCCTCTCAATCTATTCTTTTTTTAAAGTTAACGAACAAACGCAGAAGAGGGGGTTGGTGGGCAAGGGTATTGTGCTTTTCATTTCAGCTTCCTTCTTTTTTGGCTCTCTCTATCGTTTGAAAGGAATATGCAACGTATCCATCATCGCGATGGAAGAAGGCCCTTTGCCGCGGCACGTAAATATAATCTCTTGGTCACCTCGGTCTACCGTGTGTACTCCGCGGAACACGGCGTCATCTGTTCCACTGGGAGGCTGACAAATAACTGTATCATGTCGTATGGCTATAAGAACTACATCAGCCATTTCGCACTATGAAGGTGTTTGACCGGTTAAGCTCTGGCGGTATATTTAGTTTGTTCAGTTCTACCTTTATTTTTGGTTTTTCGAAATTAGCATGTACTCTTCTAAAGTACTCAAGTTTTATTCAGTCTTGGAAACAAATGTAGCACGCATATTGTTCACTCAACTATTAACAAATTCTTTTACCTATTTACCTTTCTCAGTTATTTCTCAATTACTATTCGTTGTAGTTATTAGTACCGGAGCTGTTCCAAGTCCACACTTTCATCATCGGGGGCCGTCGTTGATCACAGAATGTTGTGGTTTTTACCCTAAGAAAGTCGAATAATGACACCGCCCATATGCGTCACTCTTCCCACTACTCCAACAACTCCCTATATGTGACGCTATGATGAATGGGAGACGTGGCCTGGCTCATACCCCATGTTTTTTCAATTCTGACTTCTTCCTTCTCTGCTTCTACCAACGATCGCTACCTTCTTACGTTACAGGATTCCCCCTCTTCCCGAGAGAATGCTCGCGTTACATATTACAATACATGATGAACAAGCAATCCTGGAACACAAAAAAATGTCTGAATGGGTTGTAGTTTCACATCACATTGAAGTTCCGTAAGATCGCACAGACTTCACAGGAGAGGGCAGCAATCCAGAGTTATCAAGTACGGCTCTGGTGGGCGAGGCTGGCTGTTACACTCTGGATGACGTAAGCATTCTTTGGGCGTGGAAACCGATAGAAACGCAGCCAGCGTTCTTTCGAGGAATGAACGAGGCTGGAATGCCTTGCAAAATCGACAGTTTTGTTGGCGTCGCATTTTACGTCGTGAGTGACACAAATGCGGTGCATGCAGTTTGCATGCCCGTTGATCGTGGCTGATTGGGCGCTGCTTGTGTTCCTGCAGAGTACAAGCGGTTGCTTTGTGGCGTTTAGGGAGTTTTCTGTGGCGATGGCACAGATGTTCAGAACGAAGGCGCAATTTTGAACGCTGGTGCAGAAAAGTGCCTTCACTTTTCTTTCTGTTAAAATGGCTGAAATGCTGAATCAGTCTTTTCTGTAGTGGTCGTTGCGGTGGCAGTGGTGGTTGTGGTGGTCATTGTTCACGACTTTCTTTAAGCCGCAAGTATGCCTGCGATGTGGCTTTAGTTCTTCGTTGACCTTGTTAGTGTGGCCATTTTAGCTGCTGGGCCTCTCCTTGTTGCTTTTGTTGGCATTGCTTATGTTGCACTATCTGTCGAGGTGAACTTCCTTTAGAAACATGAGCCCACTTTTCTTTATAGGTTGATGTGACCAGCAAATAGTCGATACTTGTTAGGGTGTCGCGATTCGTGTCAGGCAACGAAGATAGTGCGCCAAAATTGACAGAAAAATCTGCTGAGGCTCTTGCAACGACATTCTTAATGGACGTTCCTGGCACAGGGCAGTGCTTGAAAGTTGATCCTTCCGAGCCTCCTGTGTTGATTGGGCTCTCAGGTGGCTGGGAACTCGACGGCGACACTGCGAAAGGATCGGTTTGGTCATATTTTAATTGTGAATGACTGTCTTTCTGTGGAACGAACGATGCGAGCTCTTCTGAAGCATGAAACTGAACTGTAGGTGACGGGCTTGACTGAGTATGCTCGGACCTTCTCCCCTCTATTCCGACCATAGTGAACGCGTGAGACGCGAGGTGGGCGTTGTGAGCGACCGAAGATCCACGCGACGGAAAAGCAGGAGGTTGGTCAATGCGTGAAGGCTGCTTTTCACTCTTTGAGTCATCTTGGCGTTGTTTGGTATTTTCCCCATGAGTCAGCTGGTCTACCATGAACAAGGCATCCTTATGACACGCATAGTGACCTTAGGAGCCTTTGAAGAGCTGCGTCGTAGAAAATCAGGTGGTGGACCATGTATGCGACACGAAGAATGAAGGCAATCAGGTGGGTGAGCAACGCCGCGTGTCATAAGCTGGAGTGAGGACTTTGCAAATTCCGACTTTCCTGCAGAGGGGAGGCGCTCTTGATGGTTGGGTTTTTCCCAGAATACGCATGGTCTTCTGTAAGTAAACTCATGTGCGACTTTGTCTTGTGGCAGTTGTCGATTCACGTTGGGCTTTCGAATGTTCGATGATTGCTTAGGGAATTGACGATAGTGTCGGGTTTTCTGGAAATGGTTGGCAATAACTAGGTCTTGGTCATAGTCGCTAAAACGAGTGATCATTTCTTCTTTTACGGTATCTTTTGCCAAGACTCATCATTTTCAAAGATGTGGGTGAGGTAAAACTTAAATGCCTCACCGGAGATGTAGTCAGTGAAGTTGATGATCACCTCCCGTTCCGACCAGGATGCAGCGGCGGCGTGTACCTGGAATAGGTTGAACCAGTCCTGTACGGGTCCGTCGTCCGCTGATCCGGTGTACTTGGGGATGTCGAGGTCCGCCGATGGTTCTGTCATGGCGCTGGTCGTTGTCCTTCTAGGCGATGATTCGGTAGTCAATGTATGGTCAGGGTGTCTTCTGGGGAACTGCGTCGATGATGAGTGACTGATGAAGGGGCAGGCAAGTCTCCATCCTGTCGACTGGTGTGACGCTATGATGATTGGGAGACGTGGCCTGGCTCATACCCCAAGTTTTTTCCATTCTGACTTCTTCCTTCTCTGCTTCTACCAACGATCGCTACCTTCTTACGTTACATATATACTCCCGAAACTCACCGCTACGCCCACTACTGCTCCCGCCGCACTTCCTGCTTCATTCACCCACTTCTTGCCTCGTCGTTCCCGCTTCATTTCCTGTTCATCCCCCTTCATTCAACCCCACTGCACGCCACCGGAATCAATGTTTCGTCAGCCTCCACCATGCGGAACGCGCTAAGTTGTTATGTAGATTTTGTGGCGAAAGGCTGGGCATGCATAATTTCTTGTGGTACATGCCTGTAATCTAAGCGACCGTTTACGAACTTTCAACATGTAGCTCACGCATATCTACGATTATTAGCAGCGGGAGTAGCCATGGCGCCAACCAATTTGCCGGATGAGCTCAATCTGGGTGGCTATGGTCACCCTTTTTTAAATGTAATATAAAGGCTGTTCATGATGCCAGAATTTTTTTTTGTAGATTAAGTAACTGTTCGCGAAATTACAACTTCTGGTTGTATGCATCCTTGCTAAAGAATGATTTCCGCGAAGACGAGTTTGAATACACAAAACATAGTTCTGCGAATAATGAGCTGGAGAAAATACTAGCCCGATGGCGTTGATAGTGCAAGAGTACCGCTATAATAATAATAATATAATAATAATAATAATAATATAATAATAATAATAATAAGGGTGAACAGTGCAAGTGCATATAAGAATAAGGCATTCACGAGCACGTGGTCTCTAGATCTTGATTCGCAGATGATGGATACTCCCAATAAGCTTCCGTCACTCTAAGTTTAACTTGCACTGAAACAAGTTATAATGCCCACGTTAACTATCTTTGCAAGACATATTTCTCACTTGTGAATGTTTTGAGGACTAAGGCCTGCTGAATTTTTTTATTTCCAGCCAACTTTGCCACTTTTCGATAAGTTCATTCGGTCTCGGACCCGAATTCTGAAAACAATACATTCGCCGCCCACGCTGTGCATCTTTTTGTACTTATCATCTATTCCTAGAAAGTGAAATTTCGACAGGCGTTAAATCAGAAAGACTGAACTTGCACTGTTTTCTTATCTACGACTACTTCTCTGGCAAAAGCAGGAATCGGCTTCACTGATGCAGCATTTGGCTACCACCAACTTGATGCTCGGCATAAGCCACCCTGGGAACCAGATGGCAGCGACAGGGATACTGCACGAATGTTCTTTTATAATCGTAATAATAATAATAATAATCATCGATCAATCAATATTAATACTCAACTTCCCCGGGAACAATCGTAAGGACATTGTGCAGGTGCACAGAAGAATAAAACAATAAAAATAAACAATACAATACAATCTAGAGAGAAAAAAAACATGAAAGGAGGGAAAACACACAGACAAAAATAAATCAGTGCAAAAGGGGAAGAAAAGATTGATTTGATTGATGTGTGGGGTTTTACGTTCCAAAATCACCATATGATTATGAGAGATATTAGTAGAGGGCTCCGGAAATTAGTGGAGGGCTCGGGAAATTTCGACCACCTAGGTTTCTTTAACGTCCACCGTAATCTGAGCACACGGGCCTATAGCATTTCCGCCTCCGTCGAAAATGCAGCCCCAACCGGGATTTGATCCCGCGACCTGTGGGTCAGCAGCCGAGTGGCTTAGAATGGGAAGAAAAGACAAGACGAGAATCATGGAATGGTAGTGAAAAATAAAGGGGAATTTACACAACTATGTGGACGGCTTCCTGAAAGACGGAAAGGGAGGAATCTGTACATTGCGAAAAACTATGTTAAGACAGTGCAAATGAGGCCTAAACAAAAAGAATGACAGCGGAGAGTGAAAAACATCAAGATCAA